ATATATATATATAGACAACATAAAGATTTTTTTTTCTAAACAGTGATTACTACCAATTTGAGGCAATTAACTATTCTATAAACTAAATTTAGTTTCTAGAAAATCAGCCTCACACAGAGAAGAAAGGCTTTCCCTAACTGTTCCTTAAAGTAGTTTATGTGGTGTTGGTCTCTTTTTTTTTTTCAGTGAACTCTAGACTTGTCTTGCACTACAGTTTTATCAGTGTATTTTTAATTTCCTTTTAATATTTTCTACCCAATATTTAAAATGAATATCATAATATTTAACATTTTAAATAAAAGACTCCTAAATTTGTCACCTTATTCTACCTAAAGACCTCAATATTTTGGCTAATAGGATTTATTTATTATTTTTTTTTTCATTTTAACAACTTAACATTGAGGTCTTTTAAAATTTCTTGCTAATGGTATATCTCTGAATGATAATACTGTGTTAATGCATAGATTTACATTGTTTTTGTTGTTGTATATTAAATGTTTTAAAGCTTTCAAAATTTTGTTTTATGTATACATTGTTCAAGTTATTGACTTTGATACCTGTGTTAGTACAGTATATCTAAAAACCTTTTATTGTTAAAGCACTTTTGATAGTTTTAGGTTAGTTTTCCAGGTTAATCTAAATTCAGCAGAAGCATTTATTGAATTTATATGCTTATTGTTGGAAATACAGTAACCCTCCAGGTACTGCACTTGGTCTAGATTTGATGCTTATGCCATCTTGTCCTATTACTTAGAATATTTTAGACGTTTAGTAATACTGTCAGAATTCTTATATGATGTCCTTTATATTTTTGTTATTTTTAAAAGTTGATTTCAGTTGATGTGAAAATTTTACTGATGTGAAATTTTTTTTTGGTTTTTGGTGAAGATTTCTTTTGCTAATTGATGACTTAGAGCACTTTTACTGAAGTACTTAAGAAAAAGAATGAAGTTTTGACAACTGCTTATTTATTTGTCTTTAAACTTAAAACTTAAAAAATTTACATGCAGTTATTTTACTGAATTTGCTTATTAAAATTTGCTGTAATTATTTATTGTGCTTTTGTAGCAGAGTTATTTGTACTAATATGTGTATGGTATATGTATTTCAGTGATACACAAGGGAAATAAGTAGGACAAAGTTAATAAAGCCCTCTGGTTAAGATTGTTTAGATTTCATTGTATCACCAGTCAAAAGATTTATCTGGATTGTTTTACAGTTTCTTTTGCGTTTTGGAGTGGTGGATGCTATCAAAGGCCTACATGTTCTCTCATGACAGTGGAAAACATTTTTGAAAAATAAATTTTTAGCTTTTTATTATTAAAAAAGAGGGCTGCAAAGGAAGACATTTTAGTATAACTTAATGAAAACTTTCTGTAGTCAACTTTTATCATTTCTAGACATTCACATACATGCTCTTCAGGTTTTGTTATTCGAAAAACTCCCCACCAAATTCTGTAGATCTTAGTTTAGATGTTTATACTGGTTCTGTATAGAATTTTATTAGTAGTTGTCTAGTTATAGCTCAGCAGGGATATTTCCTCAGGCTAGTTAAAGCTATAGATTGTAGATATTTTGCAACCTTGGTTTTAGCAATGCTAAAATTGTTGTTGTAGTTGTTATGTGCCATTCATTTGCTTGCGACTCATAGCGACCCTTTATACACCATCCCTA